TTATCAACATCATCGCCTTCATCACCACCATCATCTTCACCAAAATAACCATCATCATCACCATCATCACCACCATCATCACCATTACCATCACCGTCATCACTATCATCATTACCACTACCATTATTATCACCATCATTATCATCATCATCATCACCATCATCATCACCATTACCATCACCATCATCACTATCATCATTAGCACTACCATTATTATCACCATCATCATCATCACCACCATCACCATCATCATTACCATGATCATCGTCACCATGATAATTACTGTCATCATCACCTCCATCATCACCATCACCATCACCATCATCACTATCATCATTAGCACTACCATTATTATCACCATCATCATCATCATCACCATCACCATCATCATTACCATGATCATCGTCACCGTGATAATTACTGTCATCATCATCACCACCATCATCATCACCATCACGGTGGTGCTAGGTCATAGACATGACATACAGGGCACAAGCCAAGCGTTAAGACCACATCTGAAACAGCAGTCGGCACGTCTGCATCTGTGGAATTCACACTGGATGCAATGTGCACATTGGGCACCTGCGACCTCTTCATCTTTCCATGCACGTTCTTACCATAAATTCACAAAGCTGTGTCTTACAGTCTTTTGTTCATCACATGTGCTTGTTGGCAATTTATAAATTTAGCTTTAGGAAGTTATAATAACAAATTAGAGTTGACTCTGGCTAGGGAAGAAAAGCCCCTTAAATGCACCATGAGTTTGCTGTGAGCTCGGAATTTCAAAGACACATTCTGCCTGATGTCCGGGACGCCCAGCCTGATGCTGTAGCTGCGTCGATGGTTTTTTCCGTTCTTTCCAAAATGGCGCTTCATTTCCAGTATTCTCCATTTGAGACTGAAAAAGTCTTTTAATAACTCTGAAGTACTCTGTGCTCAAAACTGCAGTTTTAAATGAAATAGGCTTAAAAAAATCAAATGTGAGCAGAAATGATATTGTTTCACGAGATTACGAAAATAAAACAGAGCGAAAAAGTTTTTAAAAAATTTCCCAGCAGTGCAATGATCCGAGAAATGAAGTGCCCACTAACGGCAGCAAATCAGCCAAGCTGAGATGGAGAACAAGCTACCACTCCGCAGGGAGGGACGTTCCCTACAGATACACAGGGACAGGCCTACCCTGTAGTGGGGTCCCACCAGGACCCCTGGGAGCAGGGGAGACTGTACAGCTGGGAGAGGTCACTGGTGGGGCTGGACCTGCTGGACGTGCAGGTTTGCCTCCTTCCCAGGCCAACCTCCAACCAGCTCACCTCCCTGCCGCCTGCTCACCTTTGTCAGGTGGGTCCCAGGCCATGCTCCTGCCTCGCCAGCACCTTGCGCCCTGCCTGTCCGTGCTCAGTACCGCTGGGGAATGAATATGGGGAAGACGGGAAGAGCAACGTGAATGAGTCAGTGATGCAGTAAACAGGAGAACCACACGGTGCCAAGGTGGTCAATCCCACAGTCACCTTCCTTCTCAAAGCACAAAGCCACATCACTTCTAGAACAAAGTTAAGGCCAACTCCCTCTGCAGCGCATCTGCAGTAGGATTCCTGCTGCCCCCCCCAAAAGGGGGTTCCTAATGAGGGTTTAACAAGCTGCCCAGTTTTAAAAGACTCCTTGAAAGTAACTGCTTCACTTAGCCCTTCCTCGACAGAATCAGAGCCGCAATCGTTCTCTCCTGGCCTAGCTGCCAGGTAGCAGAGGCACCTCGGCACTGACTGGGTGGCCTGCCTGGAAGTGACAGCCCCGTGTCAGGGTTAAAAGTCTCCCCAGTACAGGACGTTGTCACTTCCACTTCGGAGGACTGATCTGGATCCCTCCCTGCCTAGTAAAGGCCCGGCCTGGCCTGCGCGCTCCAGACTGGAGGAAGCCCATGAAACCAAATGACTCCTGTTTTCCGCACTCTCATCCCTTCCAAAGCCCCGGCATCTATTCTTCCCTCCAGCCGACATGCATAACTCCCGGTGACAATAATGGGATGAGCATGTGTACCGAGGGGAGCATAGAATTTTTATCTCTGCAAAAATGGTACTAGCGTGGTATAAGCAAAGTTTTTGTTTTTTTCCCAAGGCTTTTACTTGGGGCAATATATTGCACATGTGGTTGTGGGTTTTTCCTTCTTTTTAATTTTAAATCGAGATTATGAACATATTTTATGCAGGTTAATATATCCTTTTCATGTAAAATTTAACTGAAACCAGTTCTAGCACATTAACAACAACAAGAGAAATTCTCTGGCTTATTATAAACATCCTTCAAGAAACCTGAAATGCGTGTCCTCTGGAAATAATTTTGCTGGGATTTGGGTTATTATTAAAATCCTCTCAGAATTCTATCACTGGTTTTTAATGTGCCTCAAAGCCTTTTTCTGCTACTGATCAGAGACCTGGCAGAACATTCTTGGTGGCGAGAACAGGGCTGGGGGAAGAGACGTCTCTCCAACACCAGGCAACACGGAACAGGGTGCCGCATCTCAGCCCGGGGCTGACACTCCGGGGTGCCCGACAGAGCCGCAGAGAGGCAGCTCCTGGGACAGGGTCCCTGTGAACCAGGTGGAAGGAACCGCTGCCTTTCTGCCCGTTTTGCTGCTCTTATCTCTGCGTTTCCACGACAGGAGGGAGGTTTACTGTGGACTTAAACTTGAGGGAGTCCCAGGCAAGTAGGGCTTGTCACCTGTCAGAAATCTCTATCTGTGAGGGGACCTAGGAGGTCATGGGGCCGGGCGACACCTGGCCAGGGTGCAGATGAGCTGCCCTGGCAAGGTTGGCAGGAAGGAGGGAGAGTCATAATACCCTTGAGAATTCTCGTACTTAATTTTCTCCTCACTGACAAATCAGACAGCCCGCCGTCCTCCCCGGGGGACCGCGCCGCCTCACTGAGATGTAAGTACGTCCTCTTCGGGGGCGGGCGGCAGTGCTCGCCCTGATGGCATTGACCCTACCAGGTAACAGTCTGGCGAGTTATCCAGAGCCACACTTCTCAGACTTGGATGTTATTCCATTCGTCTGGGATCCTGCTAAATTGCAGGCTCTGCGTTAGCGGGCCTGGGTTAGGGCCTGAGGTTCTTTCTGCTTTTCCAACAAGCCCCCAGGCAACGCCGGGCTGTGGACCACACTCTGCGCTGGGAGAACTTAGATTAAACTCCAACCCCAGATCCTTGCTCGAATTGTGCATTCATTCCACACGCCCTGGCCTCGGCGGACTCTGCAGCTTCCACGCTCTGCACCCAGGACACTGGGAGAGTGAGGCAGGTTTGCCCCACGAAAGTTCAAACTTCCGGGCATCAAAGGATGCCACTAACAGGTGAAAAGATGGCCTACAGAATGAGTGAAAATACTGGCAAGTTATATATCTGATGAAGGATTAACATTCAGAATACATAAAGGACTCCTACAATTCAACAACAAAGCAAAAAACCTGAGCAAAGAAATGGGCAAAGGACTTGAATAGACCTTGCTCCAAAGAAGACACACACATGGCCAAAGGCACAGAAACAGACGCTCAGCATCACTAATCATCAGGGAAATGCAAGCCAAAGCCACCGCAATGAATACCACCTACACCACTGTGACGGCTGCTATCAAGAAAGAGAGAGAGAGAGAGAGAGAGGGAGAAAAGGAAGGAAGGAAGGAAGAAAGGAAGGAAGGAAGGAAGAAAAAGAAAGAAAATAACACGGTTTGGTGAAGATGTAGAGAAACTGGAGCCCTTGTGTACTGTTGGTGGGAATATAAAATGGTGTAGCTGTTCTGGAAATATAGCAGTTCCTCAAAAAATCGAAAATAGAACTACCATATATGATCCAGCAATCCCACTTCTGGGTATACATCCCAAAGAATTAAAAGCAGGGATTTGGACAGATATTTGTACACTATGTCCATAGCACCATTATTTACAGTAGCCAAAAGGTGAAAGCAACCCTAGTGTCCATCAAGTGATGAACGGACACAAACCGTGGTACATACACACAAGGGAATATTATTCAGCCTTAAAAAGAATGGAAATTCTGACACACGCTACAACATGGATGAACTTTGAGGACATCATACTAAGTGAAATAAGCCAGTCACAAAAAGACAAATACTGTGTGCCTTCACTTATGTGGGGTACCTAGAGTTGTCAAATTTATAGAAACAGAAAGTAGAACGGCGGATTGCAGGGGCTAGGGGACAGGGAAGCGGGGAGTTTAATGGGTACAGAGGTTCGGATTCGCAAGAGGAGAAGGTTCTGGAGATAGGTTGCACAGCAATGGGAATGTGCTTAACGCAACTGAATTGCACACTTAGAACGGGTAAGATGGTAAATTTCACGTATGCATGTTTTACCACGATTTAGCCTCTGGACAGGAATGCAGTCTGCGGAGGTGGAGATAGCCCAGAGGGAGCGGGCGCGGCGCAGGCAGGAGTTCAGTGTGTGCCCTGGAGAATCTGAGGTGCCGTGGGCCTTCCGGGGGACTGTCCGATCAACAACAGCGAGACGAGCTGGTCTAGAACTGTCCTGCAGACCCGGCTGGGGAGCCAGTGAGCTGCGCAGGTGGCTGCTGCCCCTGTGAGAGGCTGACTCTTCCAGGGAATGTGTTCGAGGGGAAGAGAGCCCCAGAGGTGCCGGCGCTCCGAGCAGTGGAAGAGGGGCAGGAGCCTGAGCACCTGGGAGGAGTGACTGCCAGGAGGAAAAGCAGTCCTCTGGGGACACCACCTCCAAGAACAGCAAGGGCGAGCTCAGCAGCATCCGGGCCACAGGGGTCGGCCATGACAGATGCACCGAAAAGTGCCCCAAGAGCCATCGATGAACAGGTTGCTGGTGTGAAGAGGCCTGACTATGACCCTTGGGCGACCCTGGAGTGGTGGAGAAGTGGGGGCTGGCGGGGAGGAGGCCGCAGAAGGAAGGTGGAGGGAGCCGAGTCTGGGAGCTAAGCTGCAGCTCCGCGTGAGGACGGGCGGGCACAGGCGAGGCAGAGGGCTGCCAGAGGGGACCCAGGCCACGGGGCGTCCTGGTGGGATGAGGGTGCCAGGTGGCGTGGGACCAAGGGAGCAGAGGCAGATGATGATGGCCGCCCACCACTCACAGGAAGCCACACGCCATCCTGGAGGCAGGGGGGGAGCCATTCGGATCTTAAGCAGGAGATGACAGGGTTGGAGCTGTGCTCTAGAGAAATCCCGGGGCAGCAATGCAGAGACAGATCTGATGGGAGGCAGGATGCAAGTGCCCCACTGGGAGGCTTGCGGTAATCAAGCCCGTGAGTTCCCGATGTTTCCGTGTCTTCAGTCTCTGGGGCGTCCTGAGCCCTCCAGCCTCCCCGGTGCCTAAGTACGGAGAGGGTGGGAGGCACGGATGCCCTCTGGGACCTGCAGGAGCCTGTGGAAGTTCCCTTAGCTCCAAGGACGGCGCTCATTCTTTTCCAATTAATTCCAGGGCGCTGACCACCCTCCTCTCCAACCCTGTGACAGTTTTGTGTCCTGTGGTTGTTTTTCCTTTAAACTCTGAGGTTTTGCTTCCATATCATAGAAACTGTTTTTGTCCCCCAACTCGGCTTCTGAATCAGTAATGGACCTAATGCAAGAAAAATAAACTAGATGCACTCTGGCCTTCTGTTTCTTGTGAGACAAGGAAGCAACCACGGCTTTTCCTGGAAGTGTGTAAATTCCCACACTCCTGAAGCTCTGCTGCAGGGCCATGACCGGCGGGAGGATATGGGGGCCCCAGAAGGCTTCAGGGGGGGTCTCTGGACCAGGGCCCCAATCTAAAGGAAAACCACAGGTGCATCTGCCCTGGAGCATTTTGAGCTCTGAAAACGTGCTCCCTCCCCAGAAATGAATGGAGGACCGCTGATACTCACCATAAACACTGAGACTTATGACACAAACTGGCTGCCTTGTCCGACAGTCGGAAAGACCCTGCATGAGCAATGTGGCCCACAACCTGATCAGCAGAACTTTGGAAGCAAGTTGCTGTGTTTGGTTGTTTTGTTAAAAAAGAAAGGTGGGGACAGGAAGCAGTTTTCATACATTGATTACAAAATGTTTAGAATGCCTTTCTCGCTCTTCTTTCCTCCTGTGTCCCATCAGTTTTTTAAACCTCTGATCACTGTCTAATCTATGGTATACATACTTCTCGCAAAATGCCAGGCAGTCTTAGAAACATACGAAAAAATTCCTGCTTGTTAACGCCTTGAGAGTTGCAAACACAAAGACACACACTCGTTACGTTTCTGGCGTCGCAGTGGAGGCGAGTGGGACGGGGCCTGGCCACAGCAGCCTCAGGACCCGGAGCTCTCCCGCCGGCCTGCTCCCCCTTCTCAACCAGTCAGTGCGGGGGGGCAGCTTGGCTCCCAGAAAGAGGGCCGGAGAGTTCTGTGGCCTGGGACCACACCAGGGAGCACTGTTTTACAGGGATTGCAGCAAATTGGAACAATTACAGAGTTAAACACCTAAACCGGTACCAGGACCCCCAAAATAAGGTATCTGCAAGCTATAGTCTTACATCATCCACGAAGTCCGTGTGAGTCAACAGGTAGCTATGGACTTTAGTTTCAGCTTCCATCAACATTTATTGATCTAAGAGATAAATATCAATCAAGTTGAGAGTGAGGTCAATGCTGGCCTCCTGGGAAAATAAATCTTAACGTTCCCCCAAACCCGCAGACGCCACGCCTCATATGTTTGACTCTAGCCCGCGGGTCACACAGAGGCTCTTTCAGTTGAGGTCAGCTCTTTTCTTTATTTTGAGTTGTTATAGGTGTAAACTATTTCCAAATTGTCTTATTTCTGGAAATTTTTATATAAAAATTTTAAATCTCTTCATATCTTAAATAATCAAGAGAAAACGTGATATTTAAAGAACTGCTATTGGCAATACTTCCATAAAATAAGAATCCTTTTGACATCTCATTTAATCTGATCTGCTCTCTGTGAAAACTAAGCATGGCCCGTGCTGAAGGCCCCTCAGGGGAGCACGCCGGCTCCCACAAACACACACAGAAACTTACAATCAAGACCAGGGTTCTTTCTGAAAACACTGTTGAATCCAATCTTTTTCATAAGTGGCAAAAAACTGCTTAAGACAGCGTTTTGTACCCAAGAGGTACACAACTGATTTTTCTGTTTAATGCATAAATGAAAGGTGGGTCCCACCAGGCTGTGAACAAGAGGAAGTTGTTTATTCAAGACTGATGGCGTTACCCCTTAGGGATATGGATGCTTTTCTTAAACTGAGTGTTTGTGTCTTCTCACATGCAACGCTGGGGATTGAAGGGGGGAATCTTATTGTAAGAATTAAGTATGATGACATGCAAAAAGCACTTTTTAAATCTACCCCTGGGATAGATTAAGAAAACTTCTAATACAGCTATTTCTGTTATTACCAGGGTAAGAGACTGGTTCGGAACAACAGGTCCAGAGCAGCTTAGAGAGAACATAAGGTAGGGAAATTTACCGTGTGTAGTCACTCTTGAGGTTGTTGATAAATATCAGAAAGAAAAGATCTAAAAATGACACACACACATATACACAAGCACACACACGGATGTGCAGGGATATGCACAGTCCAGAGGATACCTGAGCTCAGCCCATCTATTTCCAGGAGACAGAATCTCAAGGGCGGGGACCAGGATGCTCCAAGGCCAAGGGAAATTGATAGTTTTAGCCTTTATGTTCCACTCAGTGTCCAGAAGCTCACTGAGTGGCCAGGAGTCTATTAAAATAAGCAAAAAAAAAGTTTGTTGCACTTAAGAACCAGACGGTGTAGTCAACAGAGCAGAATCAATAAGGGATTTTTGATTACATGAACCAGATGGTGGAATCTGCTATATGAAAAGCCCACTGGACCCACAGTTCACTGCAGGCTATCTTTGGAAAATAGGTGAGGCTGCCTCTCCAGGAGATGGCAGGAAACCCAGCACGGAGCAGCAAGGGCAGGAGCAAGGCTGAGCCACTCAGGACTTCCGGACGGTGCACAGAGAGCCCCCAGACCCAGACTCTGTCTGAGGCAAAGCTTGCAATGTGCTGGCTAAAAGCTTGTCTTTGGGATTAAGCAATGACTATAATCCAAAAACTTCATGACCTTGGGTAAGTCACACATCTCTCACCTTACTGACTCTCCGAGTCTCATGGGCCCAACTATAAATGTAGAATTACATGCACTCCATAGAGCTGGTGTGCAGCATCAAGACCGAATATCCATCGCACTAGACACCATTCTAGGCATGGAGAAGACAGCAGGGAACAGAAGTGACAAGTTCCCTGCCTCCATGGATCTTGCATTCATGAATCTCTAGTGAATAGAGAAATGCAAACAGAAAAAGTGTTGTATATAAGATATCGGGACAGCTTCTTCATAGGCGGTGAGTGAAAAGCCACAGGCAGATCTGGGGAGGATGTTCCAAACAGAGAGGATAGCCGGTGTGTAGGCCCTGACACAGAAATAAGATTGGCATGTTTAAGCACTAGCAAGGCAGCCAGTGTGGCCGGAGGGAAGAGAGGGAAGAAGAGGATGGTGGTAAAAAGGATGTCAGAGAGGCAATGGGGCCTAGATCACACTCGGCTGTGCTGTCCAATATGGTAGCCACCAGCCAAATATGTCTACTAAGCGCTTGAAATCTGGCTCTGCACTGAGACGTGCAGTAAACGTCAAATATACACTGGATTTTGAAGACTTAGTACAACAAAAAGAACGTAAAATATTAATATTTCATTAATAATTATTATATGGA